AAGAATTATCATGTACATGATTTGGAGTTGGCCGCGATTGTTCATGCTCTTAATATCTGGAGGCATTATCTTTATGGGGTGTCCTATGAGGTTTACACTGATCATCGCAGCTTGCAGCATTTGTTCAAATAGAAGGACCTCAATTTGAGGCAGGGTGGGTGGCTTGAGTTCCTAAAGGACTATGATATTACCATTCTTTATCATCCGGGCAAGGCGAATGCAGTTGCGGCTGCCTTGACATTCTTTATTAGCTTTGGACATTCAGTCCTTGGCTAATAGACTTGTGTTGTTGGACATTTTAAAGCCCAGTCGAGTTCTTGCAAGCGTCGTTGCCCAGTCTTCACTATTGGAGCAGATCAAGGCTCAGCAGTTTGATGATCTGCACTTGTTGGTTCTCAAAGAGACAGTACTATAGCGTGGTGTCAAGGAGGTTACTATCGGTAAGGATGGTGTTTTACGACTCCAGGGTAACCTATATGTTCCTAATGTTGATGGCTTGAGGGAGAGGATTCTAGATGAGGCACCCAGTTCTCGGTATTCTATTCATCCAAGTACCACGAAGATGTATCGCGACCTAAGAAAGCATTATTGGTGGCGGCGGATGAAGAAGGACATTGTTGAGTATGTTACGAGGTGTCTAAATTGCCAGCAGGATGAGTATGAGCATCAGAGGCCAGGTGGCCTAGTCCAGCAGATGACTATACCTGAGTGGAAATAGGAGCGCATTACTATAGACTTCGTATTTGGGTTGCCGCGGACCTTGTGGAAGTTTGATGCAGTGTGGGTCATTGTCGACAAGTGACCAAGTCAGCAACTTCATTCTAGTTATGACCACGTATACTTCAGAGAGGTTGGCCCAGATTTATCTTTAGGAGATAGTTCGGTTGCATAGTGTGTTTGTTTCCATCATATTAGATAGAGGCCCTCGGTTCACTATAGAGTGAGTTGGGGACCCATGTAGATCTCAACACAGCCTTTTATCCATAGACAGCGGGCAGTCGGAGCAGACAATTCCAATCTTGGAGGACATGCTCAAAGCATGTGTGATTGACTTTCGAGGGCAGTGGGATCGATTCTTGCCTTTGGCTGAGTTTGCTTACAACAACAGTTATCAGTCCATCATCGAGATGCCTCCATTTGAGGCTTTATATGGTTGGCGATGTCGTTCTCCCATAGGATGGTTTGAGCCCGACGAGGCTAAGTTATATGGTACTAATTTGGTGAAGAATGCCTTGGAAAAGGTAAAGTTAATTTAGGAGCGACTTTGCACAGCACAGTCCATATAGAAGAGTTGCATAGATCAGAAGGCGTGTGATTTATCATTTATGGTGGGCGAGAAGGTTCTCTTGAAAGTCTCACCGATGAAGGGGATCATGAGGTTCGGGAAGAAGGGCAAGTTGAGCCCAAAGTTTATAGGCCCATTTGAGGTGTTGAGACGAGTTGGGGAGGTTTTTTGTGAGCTTTCTTTGCCTCCCAGTTTATCGGGAGTTCATCCAATTTTCCACATATCTATGCTTCGGAGGTATCATGCCAACATGTCACATGTGTTAGACTTTAGCACAATTTAGTTAGATGAGAACCTGGGTTATGAGGAGGAGCCAGTTGCCATTGTTGATAGGCAGGTTTGCCAGTTGAGGTCCAAGAGGATTTCTACGGTAAAGGTTCAGTGGAGGGGCCAACCAGTCGAAGGGGCGACTTGGGAGTCTGAGGAGGACCGGCGGAGCAGATATCCACACTTATTCAGCAATCCAGGTATGATTCTAAACCCATTTGAGGATGAATCATTGTTTAAGAGGTGGAGAACGTAACAACCCTACCGGTCATTTTACTTTTTAGAACCTCGTTCCCCTAAATAAGACTCCCTGTATGTGCTTTTACTATTTTATGACTTGTAGGGATGGCCGGTTCAGGATTTGGAAGGGTTTGGGTTGAAATCAGAACACTTGGTTCCATGGTTTGGCTTTAAAAGGCTAAGTTTGACTTCGGTCAACCTTTTGAGTAAACAACCTCAAAATCGAGATTTGACGGTTTCAATAGATTTGTATGATGATTTCGGACTTGGGCATACGTTCGTATCGGGTTTTGGACGACCCAGGAGCGTTTCAGCGTCTTATAGTGAAAGTTGGCTCTTTGAAGGTTTTACAGTTCTTTAAATTTTGTTTCGAGTAGGTTTTGGTGTTATCAAGGTCCAATTATGATTCTGAGACCTGGAATAGTTCCGTAATGTTGTTTATGACTTGTACGTAAAATTTGGCATCCTTCCGAGTTGATTTGATAGGAATCGGACACGCTAAAGTATTTTTAGAAGTTTTTGAGTTTCATGAGTTTATCCATGCATTTTGGCGTCTGATTCATGATTTTAGATGTTATATCAATATTTCGATCACATGAGTGAGTTTGTATGATATTTTTAGACTTGTATAGATGTTTGGTGTGGAGCTTCGAGGGCTCGGGTGAGTTTCGGATGCGTTCGGAGGGGTTGAAGGACATCAGTTTTTTTCTGGTTTCTAGGCTGGTGTTGCAGGTTTCGCAAATGCAAAGTTTGATCGCATTCGCGAAGATCCTTTCGCATTCGCGAAGATGGGAAGGTTTCGCAAAACTGCCTTTTTTGCATTTGCGAAGTTTTTGGTCGCATTTGCAACTTGTGCAATAGCTATTATTGCGGGACTTAGCTTTATTTCCCTCATTTTCCACGTGGTCTTGGACAATTTTGAGAGCATCTTTGGGAGGGGTTCCATCAACATCAAGAGGTAAGTGATCCCTATTGATTCTTTATCTAAATACATGAATCATAAGTCGATTTAACATGGAGAATGGTGGATTTATGGGATTTTTGAGGAAAACTTAGGGTTTTGATAAAAATGGGATTTAACTACAAAAATAATTATGGAATGGGGTGAAACTCATATATTTGAGTTTATGGGGTTATGGGTAATAACTTTCTTCAAACAATTTTGGAATCAGGGCGCGTGGGCCCGTGGGTGAATTTTGGGAATTCTTCTATTAGGATTGGTTAATCACTTTAATAGTTGGGATATGAACTTTTGAACATGCATTGACTATTTTATATAATATTTGACTAATTTCAAGTCGTTTGGCACCGAATTGAGGGTTTATAGCGCAATTGTGAACCAGAAAGTAAGCTTTGAGACGAGGTGAGTCTCTTTTCTAACTTTGTAAGAGGGAATTAACCCCATAGGTGAATTGAATTAATATGTGCTTCTATTTTTGGGGACTACGAACGCACGAGGTCACGAGAGTCCGTACGTAGCTACTAATTATGCTTATGTCCAGGTAGCCTTAGATTTACACCATGCCTTGTTGACACCATTATTTGATTATGCTTATTATCTACCTTGAATATAGGTGAGATTGAGGATTTCAAGATTTAAAAGTTTCCATTTTGAATTTCTTATTTTTTGAAAGAATTGAGAAATATTATGATAAATTTGAGAAATCTATGTTCATTCGCATCGCAAGTATATTCCGCAAGCGACGTAATTTCCACTGCTCTCATGGGAACGGGTCGTTCGCCTCGGCAGAATAATAGATGCATCTACGGTTCGTGTCGTTCGACCCTTGGAAGTGCACACAGTATATGTATATGTATTTTGGATCAGGCCGTACATCCTCGGCATAATTCGTGCGTAATAATATTTGGAGCCCAATTATACTTGATATCGTTTTTATTGGCTTGAGAGGTTAAATGATTCAATTATGGAAATTGATTTGGGACTTACTATCGGAGAAAGAATTGTTTATTTATTTCTTGTTATTGAGTTTTATTATCATTTACATACCCTATGCTTATTTAGAGTTTCAATATTTTATTATTAGCCCATAGTAAGTGTCGAAGTGGACACCTCGTCACTACTTCTTCGAGGCTAGACTAGATGCTTACTGAGTACATGTTGTTTATGTACTCACGCTACACTTCTGTACTACCCGTGCAGCATTTGAGGCAGGTGCATCTGGTTATCATCCCAGCGCGCACTCCTGATTCCTCCGAGACTTCGTGGTGAGATGCCTTCTTAGTCCTTTCCGCAACACTTGAAGTCTTTCTGTTGTATTTACTTTCTGTCTACTTCATTTCATACAGTAGTTTAGTATTCTTTTGTATATTCTACTAGTAGCTCATACACTTGTGACACTAGGTCTTGAAAATTTTACTAGTAGACACATGATGATTTTTGGATATTTACTTATCTCACTTGCTTTCAAAATTATTGATCTCTCATTTTATAAAATTCTTACTTCCTATTTATGCACAAATTAAAAATCAGTTATTTCTAAAATGTTAAAAGAAACAATCATGTGGTTAGTTCACTATTGGCTTGCTTAGCGGTATCGTTAGGCGCCATCACAGCTTATAGTCGAATTTGGGTCGTGACACTTTTGCGCTCCATTAAATAACTTTACTTGTTCTTTATCACTGCTTTCACTTTTGTCCTCAGAGACATTGCATTCGGGTCATGCTTTTCATCTTCATCAATTTCAATTGCTAAATCTCATTTTTAATCTTATTTCTTTATTAGCTTTGGATCAAATTAGTTCGTCTGTTTATAATCCACGTAACAAATTTAACTGTATTGTTTTACGGGTAAATACACAAATGTTGCAAAGCGTAGAATAGTCAAAATATGATGATTAGAATCCGCATGAATATGCTACCTAGGCACGGCACAATCAATATTGAGAATTGACTTAATTAAACCTGTCTAGTTCTTAAAGTGTAATTGATAGATATATAGGACTAGTTCTTTACTAGGACAAGAAAATAAAACTTAAATGCATCATGAGTGCGCCAAATCATTACATAACAACCAATTTAGCATAAAACCATAGCTAAATCTTTATATTGATCGAACAACAACAATAACTATGTCCAGAGCTAATAAGTTGAGATCGGCTATAGAAATTTTCACTGCTTTATTTAAGCCAATAGTGCAACAAAACAAAAGTATTATAATAATATAATCGCAAAGCAATCATCAAATTGATCAAGAACTGCTTGGGCAAAACGTGATCAAGTAGTCTGAACCAGAACAAGTAAAGGTGCTGGAAGCATGATCATATGCATAACTATAAGCAGTAGGACACGCGTTCTTGAACAACTGAGAATAATGCGTCGGTTGGCAAGTTTGTGGCGTTGCATGATCGCCGGTGCAACAATATTCCGGCTTGTTAAACTGCGCACAAGCACTCTTACATGCCACAACCTTACCAGAATTATCCAAGACCTGTAACTCTTTCGGACAGTTTCCGTTCACGTCGGCGATACAACTGGCGTATTGACAGTCACCGGAGCCACCAGAAGTCTGTATACCGACACCCACATTGTATCCATCCACAAGGCTAAGATCGTAAAAGTCTTTCTCATTGTTGCTTTTGGCAATGGTGAATTCTGCTAGACTCACTGGCGGTACACCAGCGCCAGTGCATTTTAGTGCACCGCAGTCGCCGGTGATGCATTTTCCGTTACCGGAATTGTCAAAAGTGCATCCGGTTCTTGCCCAGAACCGGCCAGACCAACCGGAAGGAGCTGGTAGGCTGGCGGATGCAGCGTATAACTTACGGGTTCAACTGAACCCATAACTTTCGACAGAGTAAAAATTTATATGTAAAAATTCATTAAAATTGCAAAAATAGTAGATATGAACCCATAAATTTAAAAATACAATGGGTTCAATATTAAAAGCCTTAAAATTGAACCAACAAAATTTAAATTCTAGATCCGCCTCTGCTGGTAGGTGGATGGTGTCACCGTGGGATAATGAAAAGCCGCCATCCCCTGAGATGGCGGCACCTTTGGCGGAAAGTGTACCGGGCCATACCGTATAGGGGCAGTTGTTTTGCAAGGTGAATACAGTGGCTGAAATAACAGTGATCGCTTCTGCATGATATGATACAATATGATGAGCTAATATGCTACTAGTAAAAGCCAACTCAAAATAAATATATCATTATTCAAGTCTACAAGAATGAGTTTAGTTGAACCTAACTGGCCAATCATATAAATGTTACTTTCTCCGTTTTAAATTAGATGAGGTACTTTCCTTTTTAGTCAGTTCCAAAATAAATGACACATTTCTAAATTTGGAAATAATTCGATTTTAAACTCTTCATTCTACCTATTTTACCGTTAATGAGAAACTTTTATAACCACACAAATGTTATGATCCCACGGAGTTTTTACCCCTTAAGCTTTTAAGACCACAAGTTTTAAAAGTCTTCTGCGTTTTATTAAACTCGATGTTGAGTCAAACTACTTTATCTAAATTGAAACGGTTGAAGTGTATGTTAAAAAAGGTTCGAGAACAGCTCAATCTTGATTCTTTAATGGACAACATATATGTTGTTTTCTTTGATGATTATGTGAATAAATTGTCAAATGACATGTTTTGTAATACTCTGATGACTTATTACTCGACAAAGTTCAAACAAAAACCAAAGGAAAACTCTAAATACGAATATTTTGAACTGAACTACTCTGTGCAGACGCTTTTTATTGGTTAAAAGTTTTATAAAAGAGAAATTGAGGGTATTACTTACATTGTCGAAGTTTTCGTCTAGCTAGTCTCCCTCACTTTTGGCTCTTTTTGCTTATTGTTCTTTTTAATAAATTAAAGATCGGTTACCAGCGAATGATATAAAATTTGCAGTTAAGACATGAGAGAAGAAAGGGAAGTTAATTCGAGCTGCAATACCATGAAATTCTTTTGAATTAGTTAATATCAGAAAAAACTTGCAATAAGAATAGAATAAAAAATAATAAAGAATTAATTAATCATAGGGACTTGGGGTAGTGAAAGAGTTAATAAAGACATACCCAACATGATCAGGAAAAGGAGCAAAGAAGAATATTTTTGCATGGCAGCCATCTGAAACACACAAAAAAGGTGTATAATGGAAGAGAGAAAATCAGGGAAGAAGTTGAGTAGTTGGAGGAGTTAATATTGGAAAATCAATCACTAGACCACTGCCTATTTATAGCAACTAATATCTGAAGAAACTAACAGAAAAAGGAAAAGATAAATGAAAAGAAGTTACTTTGTTGATGCATATGCTTGATCTTTGTTGGGAAACAAAACTTACACCTTCTAAATCAGTAAAATTAATTAAACTTGGTTTTCGACTGATGAAATCAATGCAATTTTAACCTTCTCATTTATTTTATTTTATTTTATTTTATTTGTAAAATATCCTAGAAAATTGTGGTTTTAACATAAGCACTTTAGTTTTAAAAGAGAATACTCCCCAGTCCACTTTAATTGATTTTTAGGTCTTTTTTTGGTCCATAATATTTGATTTCTTCAAATATCAAGAAGGATTAACTTCTTTTTTTTCAAAGTTACCCTTGAAGTAGAAGAGCATATGAGTATTTGTTATATTTTCAATGAACAAATTAAGGTTAATTTGGTCAATTTCATTATTAATTAATGTTAAAAAGTGAATTCCTTAATATGTGTGAAAAAAACTAAAAACAATTAAAGTGGATCGAAAGGAGTAACATTCTTTCGAAAGAAAAATTTAAGCAGGAAATAAGGGAAGATCAAGGGGAAAACTGCAAAAGCTGGGCGTTGGATTGCAATCCTTTTTCTTTCTCTTTTTTTTTTTTTTTTAATTATCACCCGCACTATTGTTTTCTGTGAAACAATAGAATACCAAAGAAAAAGTAATTAAAAAAAATGTTTTCTCCATATTGTTTTCCATTCTTAATGTTGAAATTGGTGGTATTTAGTATATTATGCGAAATGGTGGCCAAGAACCTAATATCTTGACGTGACTAATTAATTATATGGCCACGCAAAGATTTCGCATGCTGGCAAATATATTGAATTAATTCCCAAAAATATATGAGTCCGATCACTCCCTTTGATCTTTCTTAGTTTGATTTTTTCTGCACCAACAAATACGCATTCCCAACCTTCTGTTTACCTTACCAATAACCAACATCCAGCCACTTCCAGTTTAAGACAATTTCATTCTCTTGAAGCATTTAAATGCAATTATTGTCCAAAGTTTACTGATCCGGCTAATTTGAATTTACATCAAGTAAGCTTACAAAGAAGGGTAAGGAGCTCCCTAGCACAAAGATTCTTCAGTCACAACGTTGAACTGGAGATATCTTGTTAAATTGAAAGATTATAATTATCTAAACATACCCTTCGATGATATTGTATGTACGCAATAAATGACGAACGCAATAACAAAATTTCTTCCCTAATCTGTTTACTAATAACGTTGATGAGTGGCGTGCATTTGAGTATTACCTTGACCTCTACTTGGCTTTTTCTATTTGTTGTAGTAACACTATAAGGTTTCATTTATATATTTTTATTAATATTAAGACGTGCATTTGATATTTAATAAATATCTAAATTTTAAGATTTCATATTAAAATTTGTATAATAAATAATTACGAGTGTTTGCTTTTTCAACATCTAAATATTGGAGTTACATGATACATTTGGACATTTATGTCACGCCCCGAACTTGGGCCTGGACGTAACACGGCACTCGGTGCCTGACTACATGTGACCGAGCGAATCAACTGGCTGGCTGAATCAACATGTGGTGTCATAACATACCGAATGCGGAAAATAAACTAACACATGCTGATATACTGAAAGTCTGGATGATATAAATCAAAGTGCGGAAATACTAATACAATTCTGAAACATATTTGTAGCCAACATATCTTACTATGAAAAGCCTGTGACTCTGTCTAACTGTTACTCTAGTCTATGAAGCCTCTATTGAAGTGCTGAAGACACTGACTATCTGTAAATACTGAAAGGTCGTAAAGTAATGATAATGCCCCGAAAGAACTGGGGATCACCAAATAGCTGGTACGAGAATCCTAGCGCTCTGCGTCATCGGCCTGTAAATCATTACCTGCATTGTGAGATGCAGGCCCCAGGCAAAAAGGGACGTCAGTACATTTGAATTGTACTGGTATGTAAGGCAACTGAAAGAAAGAATTATAAATGCTGAAACTGAAACTAAGCTGATATCTGAGAATTGATAATTGAAATGATAACTATTGAAACTGAAACTGAAATAACTGATAACTGATAAATGAAATGATAACTAATAAATGATAACTGGACTGATAACTGGTAACNGGGGACTGAGAATCATACTGCAATATATGATAGTGAAATACTGAATCACAATGAGTTACATAATACTGGAATACTGGATCACACTGAGTTATATAATACTAGAATACTGAATAGGACTAGATTGAGACATGTATTCTTGAACTGATTATGAACATTGAAACTTCAACTGTTTATGGCATACTGAGTAATCTATACTAAGACTCGGGGACATCAATCCCAAATCTATATTGAATACGCACTGAGCTCACAACGTTTAGAATGAAAGTCATGAACGAGTTATGAAGCTAGAGAATAGAAGCTCTACAACTATTCAAGGAACTAGGCTTAACTATACTTTTTAGGCAATTGATACGTCGTAAAAGAAACGTAGTGTAGGGAGAATCATTAATATTCCCAAACATAGAGAGTTGGCCTCACATACCTTAACTTCTTGCTCTTGAGCGTAATACAACATTCGTCAACCCTTTCAACTTTAATCTATATCAATATAAGTCAAAGGGATTCCATATTAGCAATAATACTCATGTTTTGGTTACTTAGGCATTTTCTGAAACACTTGGTGGCATAAATCTTCATAATCCTTATTAATGGTGTTTCTACACCCAATAACCTATTCTCTTGCTCCTAGATAAATTCTAAAGTCTCAAATAGTTATAATCAACATTATTCTTTATCACTCATAAGGTAAACAACACCCTTAACCAATAATCAACAATCAACAAGCCAAACCTATAATCGTTCATGCTTTTCTATCAAACTCATCAACTCATATCTCATGAACTTGAGTCAATAATCATTAATCCAATGCTAGAATCAATTAGAGGGTGAAGATATTACATTTTTGACGTTCAATCTTCTTGAATTCGAGTTCTAGGGTTTCTTCTCTCAACAATGATGCCCCAAATGAATATCTAATGATATGGAGGGTTTAACCATGTTAATAAGATATTGGGATATTGAAATTAACTTAGAATCACCATTAGAACTTACCTTGGGTGGTGGAAGGACCCTTTGGAAGTTATGTTTTTGAGAGTTCTCCTTTCTAGAACAAGTTTTTATGTTTTGGGGCTGTGGGGGATGAAATATAGCTTTAAAACGACCCCCCACTAGTGCGCCCGTGCATATGGATGCCTGCCCGTGCTACTGACCGCGCTAAACGGTAGTAACACTGCCTCAAAATTAGCGCAGCCGCGCTAAGGGCGCGCTACCGGCACGCATATCACATACTATTCTGGAAAACGCGCATAACGTTTTGCACAGAGATCCGTTCAGGATCCATAATTTATCTTTGGAAAGCTATTTCAAAGGCCAACAACTTTTATGCTTTGAGTTTTTCCAGATTCCTTACACATTTTCACTAAAACCTTCTAGAAGACAGACCTTCTGCAAACTTAGTCGATTTTGCCAAATCTTATGCACCTCACTTTCCATCTTGATTTTGAAACAACTATTTTCACCCATAATTATCTCGATGGGACTTCACATGTTCAAAATATATCCTTACTACTCCTTTAACTCATTCATATCTAAGCCGAATTTTTACGGAGTGTTACAATTTAATTTTTTGGTTGTAATACATTTGTAGTTTACTTGGGACATAGATGTAATTAGTCAGTAGTGTATTGGGTAGTCAGTAGTGTATTGGGACACGGCCCATTGTAATTATTTCCTTGTATTCTTTTGTAGTAGAAAATAAGGCCCATTGTATATATAGGCATGAGAACATTCTAGACAAGAACGGATCATTATTCTTCAATACGGAAAATTTGCCCAAAGTTCTTATCTCATTTTCTCTCTGTAAACCCTAACATAGATTCACCATTGTTGCTCGATCTCTGACCCTAACATGGTATCAGAGCCATGAAATCGTCGATCCTTCACCTCGTAATATTAGCTGTGTTGATTTTGGAGATCTCATTTCGTTAGCTACCGAACATTCTTCATCTGGTCTTAGCGGTCAGAACTTCGATTTTTTTTGTCTCTTCTACTGGTTTCTTTGCTCGCTTGCATTGGAATCATCGACATCTAATGAATTTGTGCGATTCTTTCTTCAATCATAGTTTTTCAAGGATTTTCTTCGAAACTAGGGTTTTCAGTTCTTAGCAATCTTGTGCGTTTCATCTTCAAGGCCTTTTACTTCTTCAGGTCGCGAAGAAGTTTGGTACACTCTTTCCTATTCTTCTATATTCGTTGATTCTATTTTAAGAGATTAAGATTTTTTGGAGATCAGTTGTTTTTGAGCATTTTTGTTGACAATCATGGGTGATTCCAGTTCAAATACTGGTCCTTACGTTCCTGAACCTACTAGTCCTCTATTTTTACTTCCTTCCGATGTGCCGAGAGTGTCTCTTGTTAGTGTTCCTTTCTCTGGGACAGGTTTTGGGGGATGGAAGCGAAATATGATAGTTTCTCTGTCTGCTAAAAACAAAATAGGGTTCATAGATGGCTCGTGCGTTAAATCTGCTGAAACCTCTCCTTAATATAGACAATGGGATAGGTGTAACAATATGGTTATATCATGGTTGACCAATTCATTATCCCCAGACATTGCTGAGAGTGTACAATACTCAGAAACAGCTGAGAGTACTTGGAAACAATTAAACAATAGATATGGGATTGTTAGTGGAACTAAAGTTTTTTGAGATTAAAAGAGAGCTCTCCTCCAGTTATCAAGGATCCCTAGATGTTGCTTCTTACTTTAATAAGCTTAAAAACTTTGGGATGAACTGGAGATTATGCGCAGTAGTCATGCTAATGCTTGTGCTTGTGCTTGTGCTTGTGTTGCTAAAGAAGGTCTCCAGAAAGAAAAGGAAGAAGATAAAGTTCATCAGTTTCTAATGGGCCTAAATGAAGTCTATGTAGGAGTTAGAAGCAATATCTTAATGATGCACCCTTTGCCTTCCATTGATAATGTTTATAATATACTCCTACAAGATGAAAAACAAAGACAAGTTCTTCCAAATCCACAAGCTTATTCTGAATCAGCCTCTTTCCATGCAAATTCCAATAAGTTTTCTCCTCAATTTTCTTCTCAGCAACAATATCCTCAGAAATTGAAATCTGATCAGTATAATCAAAGGGTCAATCCTGATCACAGCAAAGCTTCACTGTTTTGCAAGTACTGCAAGAAGCTTGGCCATGTAATTGAAAAATGTGACAAATTGCATGGGTTTCCTCAGAATTTCAAGTTTACAAGAGGTAAAAAGTTTGGTATTGTTGCTACTGTTGAAGGGCAGCCTCCTGGTGCTTCTGATCAGACTCCTTCACATGCTGAGGAGGATTCATTAATAGCTGGTTTAACCAAAGAACAGTATACTCAACTGATGAGCCTTCTTCAACAATCTGGTCTCAATGAGTCATCACCTCAACCTGTCATCATGGGTTCTGCAAACTTTGCTGGTAGTTCTTCTTCCTTACCTGTGTGTCTGAATGGTACTTCTAATGTGCGCATGTTGACTAATGTAGCTGGAAGGATATGGATAGTGGATTCTAGGGCCACTGACCATATGACTTCAAATAGAACCTTCTTTTCGAAATTACTCCTCTACCTATCCCTTATCTAGTTTCTTTGCCTAATGGTTACAAAGTGAAGGTCACTTGTACTGGATCTCTTACTTTGTTATCTTCCTTCACTCTTCATCATGTTTTATACATACATACTTTCCACTATAATTTAATTTCAGTAAGTAAACTGATTGATCAATTCAGATGTTATGTTTTATTCACATTCCATTCTTGTATACTTCTACAGGCCCATTCTGTGAAGAAGCTTCTGGAGCTTGGTATAATGAACCATGGACTATACAAATTTTACTTCAACCAACCTACTTCTCCTGCATCTGTTTCCCAAAATGTCATGGACAGTATTAAACACCCTATTCCTCTTCCTGTTGTTTCTGATTCATCTGCCTCTAGTTTTAATACAATAGCTGAAGTACATGATTTTCCTTTGGATGCACATGTAGATGTTCTGAATTCTCTTCATGATCCTGTTTCATTACCAAATTGTAATAGTACCCAGCATATAAATAAAAATTATGTTCTTTGGCACCATAGACTGGGTCATGTTCCTTTTGCACAAATGATAAATATACCTTCTATTTCTTCTTCTTTATCAGCAAAGCAGTCCTTTATTTGTCCTATTTTCCCTTTAGCAAGACAACCTAAACTGTCATTTCCAAACAGCTCTACTCATTATACTGCACTATTTCAACTTATACATGTAGATACTTGGGGTCCCTACCACACTCAATCATATTCTGGGGCAAGATACTTTCTGACCATAGTTGATGATTACAGTAGGGCAACCTGGACACATTTGTTGCACTCCAAAAGCTATGATTTTAGCTTAATTAAGGCATTTATAACAATGGTTAAAACGCAATTTCAACTTTCTATAAAAGTCATTAGAAGTGATAATGCCTTAGAGCTTGGATCTTCTAATTCAGCTCTTCAGTTCTTTTCTAACACTTGAATAATCCATCAAACAACTTATCCTCACAACCCACAGCAGAATGGGGTGGTAGAAAGAAAACATAAGCATCCACTTGAAACTTCAAGAGCCTTATTGTTTCAATCTAAACTTCCTACCAAATTTTGGGGTGATTGTGTCTTAACAGCAACTTACCTTATCAATAGGTTTCCCTCTTCAGTTTTACACAACAAGACACCATTTGAACTTCTTTATGGTAGTCCACCTTCTTACTCTCACCTAAAACCTTTCGGATGTCTATGTTATGCTATTGTACCTAAATGCATAGGGACAAGTTTCAACCAAAAGCTTCTCCTTGTGTGTTCATTGGATATCCCTACGCTAAAAAGGGTTACAAACTCTTCAACTTAAATACCAAGTCAGTTTTGTACTCTAGAGATGTCATTTTTCATGAATCTGTATTCCCCTATCAATTGATACACTCTACTTCTTCTTCTTCTTCTACTCCAACTTCATCCTTTCCCATGTACTCCTTTGATACACATTCTGATTTGCATAGTTCCAATCCACCTGGACCTTCCTCTCCAACTGTCTCCATCCCATCTAACTCACCTACTCCTGATCCTTTTTTACCACCTGAACATGATCATGTTCAGCCCACCTTCCCAACACATGAGTTAGAACCTCAACCTCATCCATTTCCTATGATTATAAAAAGTTCTAGAACCCACCACATACCATCTCACTTGAAGTACTATGTTGTACAACTTCCACCTTCCCTTTCCTCTTCCACTTCTTCCTCCTTTTCTGCTACACAACATGTACTAGTAGAACCTCATTCTTACACTCAGGCTGCTGCTAGCCCCGCTTGGCAGGAAGCTATGGCCAAAGAGTTTGAAGCCTTGGAGGCAAAGAAGACTTGGCAGATTGTTGAATTACCTTTTGACAAGAAACCATAGGTTGTAAATGGGTGTATAAAATTAAATATAAAGCAGATGGTATTGTGGAACGGTTTAAGGCCAGATTGGTAGTTAGAGGGGACACTCAGGTAGAAGGGATTGATTTCAATGAAACCTTCTCACCTGTTGTCAAAATATGCATTGTCCGATGCTTGATTGTTGTTGCACTTAAGAAATACTAGCCTTTATTTCAACTAGACGTTAATAGTGCATTCCTGCATGGTGACCTAAATGAAGAGGTCTATATGAAACTTCCCCCAGGGCTTTCTGTTCCTTCAACTTCTTCCAGTTTTGCCCCCTTGGTATGAAAACTTCAGAAATCCCTTTATGGTCTTACACATGCTTCTCGACAGTGGTATGCAAAGTTATCACAAGTTCTTTGCTCCAAAGGGTATATTCACTCATTGAATGACTATTCATTATTTGTTAGAAGTCTCCATATTGTACTGTTTTTCTTGCTGTTTATGTGGATGACATCATCCTTACTGGAGATGATTTGTCTGAGATTTCAGCTCTTAAGTCATTTTTGGATGCCCAATCCAAAATTAAGGATTTGGGACTCCTTCATTATTTTTTGGGTATTGAGGTTCTTCATCATCCCTCGGGTATTATTTTGCATCAGAAGAAGTTCATAAATGATTTGCTTACTGAATATCATTGTTCTGATGTTTCTAAGGTTATTGCTCCTTTAGACATTTCACTTAAACTAAATGTTGATGTTGGGGATTTGTTGCCTGAACCTGATAAATATAGGAGTCTAGTTGGGAAGTTAAATTATTTGACTCACACTAGGCCTGATCTATGCTTCACTGTCCAGCACCTTAGCCAGTTCCTCCAGGCTCCTAGAATTCCACACATGTCTGGTGCTCTACATGTTTTGCGATATTTGAAGGGTACGCTTGATCATGGTGTCTTTCTTAACAACTCTTCTGATTTCTCCTTGTTGGATAGATGTGACAGTGATTGGGCTGCTTGTCCTACTTCTAGAAGGTCTGTTTCTGGGTTTTGTATTCATTTAGGGGGCAGCCTCATTAGTTGGAAGTCTAAAAAGCAGCCAACTGTTTCTTTATCTTCCGCTGAAGCTGAATATCAGGCCATGAGTAAGGTGGTTGCGGAGTTAGCTTGGCTTGTTCGTTTGTTGGCTGATTTGGGTGTGCCTTTTACTACTCCTGTTCCACTATTGTGTGACAGCCAAGCTGCCATTCATATAGCCAAAAATCCTGTCTTTCATGAGCGTACTAAACATATCAAAGTAGACTGTTACTTCATACGCACCAAGTTGGCTGATGGGCTTATTTCTCTATCTCATGTTCCAACTTCTTTACAAATGGCTGATATTTTTACTAAGTCCTTGACAGGTTTGCAACATCGCCTATTATCCAGCAAGTTGGGAGTGTGTTCACCCTCCAACTTGAGGGGGGTATTGGAGTTACATGATACATTTGGACATTTAATTTTTTGGTTGTAATACATTTGTAGTTTACTTGGGCCACAAATGTAATTAGTCAGTAGTGTATTGGGTATCAGTAGTGTATTGGGCCACGACCCATTGTAATTATTTCCTTGTATTTTTTTGTAGTAGAAAATAAGGCCCGTTGTATATATAGGCATGGGAACATTCTAGACAAGAACAGATCATTATTCTTCAATACAGAAAATTTGCCCAAAGTTCTTCTCTCATTTTCTCTTTGTAAACCCTAACATAGATTTACCATTGTTGCACGATCTCTGACCTTAACACTAAATATATAAATTTGTCTTTATTTAAATATTAATAATATAAATTTAAATAAAATATTAATTAATCTAATTGTATATTTTAAAGAAGTATATGATGGTGGGTGATGGTGATGGCTAAGTGCTAACTGACGGGGAGAAGCGGTTGGGGGCTAGTGATGGAGCCACATGTATTCACGCGATGACACCCTTTCGTCGAAAAATCACATTATGTAGCTAGGTAATTTTTTTAATGTATGTATACTACATATTGACACACTTCGGCCTCTTTGCGGGTTTACTTCTTTATTTTGATCATTTTTAATAAACATTTTGGCTTTGCTACTGTTGGTGGCGGTATAATTGGCCGATAATGGTGATTGTGGTAATAGCTAGTGGCAGTTGTGGCTGGCAGTTAGTGGAGTTGATGGTAGTAGTTGGTGATGGAGGCTGACAATTGTGGTGGATGAAATTGATAACTAAAGATAGCGGTGACTGATAACGGCGGTTGCGATATATAGTGTTGGCTGAATGTGGTCAATAACGATCGATTGGTGATTGTTGTGGTACCAGCAGTTGGTGACGATGTTTGAAATGGTAGTTAGTGGTGGTAAAAAATGATTGTGGTAATTGGTGACAAGGTGGTTCTGATTGAGGTTTTGTGGTTGTGTGTATTGTGTGATGGCTGATAATAATGGTAGTTGAAAATGGTGGAAAGTGGCGATTAGCAGTGAAAGTGTATGGAGTAGTAAATGTCATCTTTGCATAATTCTTAAATGGACAACATCTTTAGTAGATCTCAACTATTTCAATCTATTCAAACCTGGTTGTAAAAAAAAAAAATTAATATTTAAATGATTAAGATTCAAACTTAAAAAATAAATATATTTAATAACTAAAATCTAAATAATTGTGATTAAAATAGTCATTCGGTGATGAGAGGTCACATTTTGATCTGTAGTGTTATGACTTAACATTCAATGATTTTTGACCACTGTTGGCTATTTAGATTTTCTTTTTCATCGTGGAAAATAAGAAATTAAAGAACAAAATTCTCTCTAGCTAAAAATCATGACCGTCTGACCCCAAAAATGAACACGGCTTCATTTCGTACGTAAAATATAACTGCATGCATATTAGATGTTTATGTTGTTTTAACAAAACGTAAACTTAGAGCATTAAAATAGTTTTCAATGTTAACTGGCTAAACTTGCTGCAACATGAAGAGGCTTAGACTAATATTGTTTTTGGTAAGGTGCTGAGTCTAGGCTACTGATAGCTAAGCAAATTCTGTCTTAGAGTTTACTGTTTTTAGTTATTTTTGCTGATCTAGCTTTAGAGTTAAATTAAGCTAGTTGTACATATTGTTTACTTGGTTTAATAAAATTTTAACTCTCGACCCAACAAAAAAAAAAAAAAAACGCAACCTTTCCTCTAGGTGTGGTGGCATCATTGTACTCCAGAAATGTGGAGTTCTCATTCTGTAATTATAAAACAGTATTTAAGAAATACTTTATGTTCTCAACATTAAATTTATCCTAGAAAAATCTTAATTAATCGAATCAATGAATTAATAGACAAAAAGTCCCGAATAATTAAACCAGGAAAAAAATTGCAGCCCTGTCCCTACGATAGGGTAACCAAAAATTTTCAAACATAAATTCTCGTAGAATTCTCAAGGTGAAAATGCGTTCCACGGTCAACTTTCATATCATGTACAAATATTTAATTCCTTCTCCATAATTAACGGTGGAGAAAAAGGAGGAAAAAACAGCCCAGATGTCTTTTCAACTTAGCTCAGAATTCCAAATGCAAACTAATAAACTTAAGATTTGTCTAATATTGAACGAAATAGAAGTTTTATTACTTGCATTATTCACTCCATAAATTTATTGTGTGTTGATAAAGAACTAAATATTACTACTATTTTTCTTTATCTTAGTTACAGAACCTAAGAATAAAATTTACAATAGATTTCCTTGTAGACCTACTTTTTTATTTCTTCATTTTAAGGAAAGATTTAGGTTTAAAAAATACCAAAACATATCTTCACTACGTAGCTGATCTCTAAGACTCTAATTAATAAAAGGGAAAAAGAACAGCGAACTTCAATTCTTGATTCTCACCCTTTGCTTTTCTCTTTCTACGTAGTTTCCAACCACTAAATTTACTTTAGCTTTTCCAAACCAATAGTTTCATTATTTCCTAATTCCCAGTTTAATTGTGTCTGAAAATTTAAATCAACAAAAGAAAAAAGAAAGAGAAGAAATGGAATGGGGCTATACATATGACGTGCTGGGTCCACATGAAGGACGTACGAAGACTATCTCCCAAGTCAAGAGGCTGCAGAAGGATTCAGTTATGCCGTGAGAGACAGGGCAGCAGTACCATACCACACGACATGGTTGCGGTCAAAACATGCAAGATGTATTGTACACTGTTGGATTGTTTGGACTAAGAGACAAGTTATGCGGAGATAATAATGTAGAAATAAATAGTAATGCATGAACCGTAATGCAGGAATAATGATGTAAGAATTGTATAATGTAGATATTATTTCTTGTTAAGTGTGTAGTTTAGTATATTACATAATCAGTATATAATGTTTTTTTATTTTTTATTATTATTATGAGAGGGTTAGTGTTGTTATTTTAGTATTTAATATACATGTATTACTAATACTTGCAATCTTATTTAGCATAAAATAGTACATAAATTTCGCATAACTTACGCAAGTATTGATTATGATCAGAAAAAACAAAAAATGAGCTACCTAACGACGTACTAATGAATATTATTTTTATGTAGAGATTAAATCTCGTTAAATCCCAACCAAACATTGTATAAGTTGATCCTAATATTTATGTGGGAACTAAAGCTCTTCTAAAACCCAAACCAAACGACCCTAGCTATGAGATTATTTGGTCATTTGATTTACATATTAGTCATACGGAACTTATATCTAATGACACTTTATGATGTCTGTATAATAATAGAATGATTGGTATAAATGTACATATTATTATGTTAATAATAATATATAAATTATTTTGCATGAATTATTTATTGTAAAGACATTATAAAATGCGTTATTTGGTATTACTGTACATTCATTCTTATTTTACAGAAAATAGTACATAAATTACTATACATAAAAATATATAGATATTAACTTACGGTCTACTAAATATTGCATTATGATGGGGGGTCATTTCTTCTATATGACCAAGTAGCACTGCGTTATAACGAATTTTACATTCGTTTTCATCTCCACTAAGAACCGCATAAGTTTTTGAAGGATTAACATGATGGTTTACTCTGATATTCCTTTTTGTGGAATTGTTTCGACCGAAATCATAGCCCCTTCAATCCAAGGGCGTATGTAGTTGTACGAGCAGACAAGTCATTTTGTGTATTCAAGCTCCGTTTTTCTGTTCGAAGCTTTTCGTATGTGTGTTTGTGGCTATGTGACTTGCGAAGTTGATTAATTTAGTCCCGGGGAGATTTTGGATTGATTCGGAATATTTGGTCCTTAGATTGGAAGTTTAGGTTGGAAGTATTAACCGAGGTTTGATTCTTTTGAAAACGATTCTAAAACGGAGTTTTGATGGTTCCAATATGATTGTATGGTGATTCTGGACTTAGGCGTATGCCCGACATTGGTTTCAGAGGTTCATAGGTTGAATTAGCTTTTTTTTGGGAAGTTGGCAATTTGAAGGTTTAGAATTCTTCTATGTTTGACCATGTATTGACTTTGTAGTTATTGGGTTCATATTTTGATTTCGGGACTTGGAATAGGTCCATTTTTCCATTTCAAACTTGTGTGCAAAGTTTGGTGTCATTCCGAGTTGGTTTGGTAGGAATCGGATGCCTGATTGTGATTTAACAATTCTTAAAGTTTCATTGAGATTTCTATCCATTATGGGGTTCGATTCGTAGTTCTAGATGTTATTTTGATGGTTTGAGCTCGAGCGAGTTCGTATGATATTTTTAGACTTGTGTCGATGTTCAGCGTGGAGTCTTGGGGGCTCGGATGAGTTTCAGACGCGTTGCAGAGTGTTTTGGGAGAGTTCAGATTTTCTGGTGTTATGTTGATGTTGCAGGTCTTGCAAATGCGAGATCCATTCCACATTTGTAAATCTCACATTTGCAAGGAGGGTGTCGCATTTGCGAGGTGGCTGGGGACTGAAGTGTTCGCTTTGCAAACAATAGGATCTCACTTGCGAAGGGGCAACTGGGCTGGGATAATCGTATTTGTGATTGCATTGTTGCTTTTGTGATGGTTCTAGCTTCGCATTTGCGAAGCGTGTCTCGCACTTGCGAGATTTGCTGGGGCTAACAGAGTTTGCTTTTGCGATCCCTGTGTCGCATTTGCGGAGGTCGCGTTTGCGAACCTTTGGTCGCAAATGCGGCATCTGCAGCTAGTTAAAGAATGAGATTTCGAGACTTAGTAGCATTTGATCACATTTTGAGCCCTAGACTTGGTGGGAGGCAATTTGTTCTAGGGGATTTTTAAAGTCTAGCCATTAGGTAAGTAATTTTGACTCAATTTCAATATTTTAACTTGATTTGTTATGGATTTTAACATCAAAATCATGGGATTTGAAGGAATTTTGACTATGTTTTAAAAATAAAATTTTGGGATTTCAGAGTCGATTTGGACTTGAATATAAAAATCAAACACATATTTGGACTCGTGGGACTATGAATAGTCGAGATCTATCATTCGAATCGAGTTTTGAGCGAGTGAGCTTGGGGTTGACTTTTATTGACTTTTTGGAAATTGTGTAAAGATCTTAATTTTATTAAATGAAATTAGTTTCTCTTGCATTGTTTTATATTACTAAGTTATTTTTGTTTAGAGTTGAGCAGAGCGGAGGAGAATTTTAAAAGAAAAGCTATTTTTGAGTGTTGATTTGGGCAATTTTTGGTAAGTATCTTGCGTAACTTTATGTGGGAGAATTTTTTTTCTCGGGATTTGGCTTAATTGCTTATTTGTGTTATGTGTAAATGACATGTATTCTAGGTAACGAGTGTGTACACGGACGTATGTGTGCTTTATGACTGAATTTTACCCGAGATTTCTTCTATTGCCTTGTTTTGATTGAGAGGACCCTGTATGACGTGCTTTTCACTTTGGACAATTATTTGAGTCTATGTTCCATGATAGAGATCATGTTTTAGGATCGTATTTCCTAAATTGGCCAAAGTGGGCATTTGTGAGATTGTTACTGATTTGAGTTAGTTTTCATGCTTATATGTTGAACATACATCCGTTTTCTTATTGAGTTGTCCTTGTGCACATCACTGGTAGATTGTGAATTTATGTGTTGGTGACAATTGTTGGCATGATATGTTGTTATGATTGTGAAATATGTGGAATTATTGGGCGGATTGTTCGGGTGTTTGTACGAGATTTCTGTTGTACTATTATTATGTTGATATTGCACTTGTGGTGTGATAATGCAGGTTATATCGGGTTTGCACATGTGGCGAGACAAGATGGGATAATTTGTTAATACGTGTGTGGCGAGACAAAACGGACATTTACTTTACTGATGCTCACACGGTGAGATAAGGCTGACTATGTGGGGATGATATGTGATATCCTGGGGGCATTTATTGATGATGTTTGTGTGGTGGTGAAAAAGGGGTATTCTTGTTTGTGCTTATGACTTCTTTGTATATATCATGTATTTATACATGAATTGTTTTGTGGTTTCTTACCTTCCATTCTATGCCTTGTTGTTACTTGATGATTTTTGTTATCTCGTATTCTATCGTGTTGTTGGAAGCATAACGGATTAAGATTAAAAAAGTTGTTATCATGCATTACTTTATTTGATTTTCGGTAAATTCCTCTTGAACATGTTATTGGTAATTGACACAAGTATGATACATATTGTGGCATGAGGTCTATACCGTGCAGGTATGATATATGTTGTGGCACGAGGTCTTTGCCATGCAGATATGGTATATACTGTGACACAAGGTCTTTACCTTGCAAGGGTGATTGATAATATGGGCACGAGGTTTCATATGTGTACGATTTCTATTGGGTGACTTGATGTTGAAACTTAGCCTTATCTGTATTAAATTGCTATAACTTGTTCTGCTAAGATCTCAGTTATTGCTTTTTGTAACCCTTCTTGTTGCAAGTCTCTTTTTCCGAGGCAAGGCGGTCTATGTTTTGCTTCCAGCCCAAGGTCTCTGCCTCCTTCGTGATGGCCTTATCACGAAGCTGCTCGATCTTCTCGGCCTTCTGCTGAACCTGCAGGATTGAAATATTAGTCGTCGTTCCCGAAATGATATGTCGAGCTTCTAAAGGATTTTTTTTATTATCTGCTCAATCAGGTCGGTCTGCTCTTTATGAGTTCTGACCAACTCGGCTCGGAGGTCCTTGATCTCCTCTTCTTTTTGCCCACTGAGAAGTTTGAGGCAATTCCTCTCCTCCGTAAGCCTTTGAAGATTGGCCTCGCATTGGCTCAGCTCTGCCCGGGATTTGGAAAATGTATTCCGGTGAAGTGTCAAGGCCTGTGCAGAAATAAATGAAGTTAGACAAAAAGAAATAAGCATAAGTGTAATATCAATAAGGGGAATAGAGACTTGCCTAACTCAGATGTTGTTGAGCCTCATCGAAGAGACTCGATGTATTACCTAGGTCGGTAGCATCTTCGACCCCCGTGAAGCAATACGGAAAAGGTCCTCCCCCTCATGGACCGTTCCCACATTGGGGGTTCCCATGGCCTAGGCTTCTTGAATCTGCCCGTCGAAAAATGTGGAGAGGGGCGGCGAGTCGTTGATATATATTGCTCCAACCAAGCCACTTGGGGCATTCTCTTTGATCCGAAGGGCTTCAGAACCGGCCCCCTCAAACACATCCGCTGATTGTTCGTCATGGCGGGAGGCATCTTCAGCCTCCGACGACTGGGAAATTTGCTCGGGCCATCTCCCGAGATCTCCTCGGTCCGAGGCTGAACCTTTTTTTATCATCAGCGGCCTTAGGGACCTCAGTGCTCCTCTTTCGTGCCACCAGCTTGTAGTCAGCGTTTTTATTTTCCTCTTCTTCATCTCGTAGTCGCTGAGCTACATCGGCAGGTAGGGCGGTGTTGTTGTTCTTTGACTTACGGGCGTTACTCTTTTTAGGCTTTGGAGTCTCTGAGGGCGAGACCCTTTTTCTTTTCTTCTCCTTCGACGGCCTCAGGACCGGGGCCGGAACCTCCTCCTCTCTAGACGGGGGCCTCATGACAGTAATGTCTCCAAGGCCTATATGAAAAGAAATCAAGTGAATGAGAAAGGAAATATTTCGGAAAAAGATCATCTAATACATGAAAATAAGCTTACCATGATTTTTGGCCTCTCATCGGCCCCTTGCCAAATCGCGCCACGAGTGCTCGGCATATGAAAAAGTCGATGCTAGTTTCTGAACCCAGCCCTCAAGGTTCGGAATTGCACCAGGCATCCAAGAATCCGCTGCATCATGGGGAGGAATATCGATGAGAAAAAGCAAAGGAAACAAGACAGTAAATGGAAGCTATGGGTGGGGTTTGTACTTACTCTTCATATTCCATTCCTCGGGGAATGGAATTTTCTCGGCCGGGATTATGTCGAAAGTCCTCACTCGGAAGAACCGGCCCATCCATCCTCGATCCTTATCCTTATCTATGCTCGAGAACAATACCTTGGTAGCCCGACGCTGAAGCCTTATTAACTCGCCTCGATAAAGATGGGGGTTGTACATTTTGATGAGATGGTCGAGGGTGAAAGGCATCCCTTCGAACTTGCTCACAAAGAATTGGAGCAGAATAATGATTCGCCAAATAGAGGGATGGATTTGACCTAGGGTTACTCGGTATTGGTGGCAAAAGTCGCTGATGACGTGATCGACGGGGCCCAGCATGAAAGGATAAATATAAACACATAGAAACCCTTTCATGTAAGTAGTGATGTCCTCTTCAGGGGTCGGAATCACCACCTCTTTGTCTCCCCAGTTGCAATCTTTCTTCATATGTTTGAGGTCGTCCTCAGTTATCGAGCATATATATCTCGATATTTGCTCACATCGGCCACGGACCGACGAAGTTTTCTCGACTTTGAAGTCGGAAGTAAGATCACCCCCCCCCCCCAAATACTTCTGTACAAGAGGTACCAACACAGGATACCAGNCGAGGTATGGCTCTACCGGCGTTTTATCCCCGACCGTCCGCGATGAAAAAGCTTTTTCCTTTTGAGTAACGATTTTAGATGTTTTTGCCATTTTTATATGGATTCAGAGGAGATGAGATTTATTGTTTTGAGAAAAGGTTGACAACAGGATTTGACGAACTTGAAGGAAGTAGAGTGCTTTGACGATTAAGGGAAGTTTTAAAAGTAAAGTTTGAGAAAATTATGATAAAGACCTATTTATAACGTTTGCTATGGCGGTTCAAAGACACTGGTGGTCGACCATCAACTGATGCTCATTAATGATTTTGGGAACTCTATCGACGCGATGCTTCTGTCTTACATATAAGGATGACGTCATAACTGGTCGACGTATAAAATCAAAGGCTCAATTTGTTTTTTCTCATTACATTCCAAGAAACGAGGGGACTATCTGTATACGAATAAAATAGGGCTTGCCTGATTTTTCCATTTAATCGAGACCAGGGAATCACGTCAGGGGTCAGTCTCGTAACGCATCAGGTCAAAGCACGAAGATAAGGTAACGAGCTCGAGAATCGAGGTGCTCATCGAGATCGAGGCCAACATGATCGAGACTATATATGACAGACTTCGAACGGAGTGCAATAACAAAAAGGCGAGATATCCGTAACAGGTCGGAGATCCCAGAACAGATCAAATCAAGGGCAGTTGTTTAGGCTAATCATGGGATTTACTTCTATAATTAGAGTTATACCATAATTAGGATTCCTCTACTATATAAAGAGGACTGTTCATCATTTATAAGCACCTTACATTGACACAGATCAAAGCAATACAATATTCTCCATTTAATTTACATTCGCTTGTTTATCAACTTGTTACATTTTAACCGTTCTTGCATAACTAGCTCGAGGGTATTGAAGCTCGAGAGCTCTGTTGACACATTGGTTTGCTTTATATTATTGTCAATTTCCATCACTTATCTTTACGTTTATCAATTGGTATTAGGTGAAATCATGTATCCTTAAAATCACATTATAAGTTTAATTGTTATCCAATTTTTAGGGTAAACAGTTCAAAAATCAGGAATCGTTCCTGGAGTTTGCACTAATAAAGATTCAAAAACCAAGAATCATTTCTGAAATTTGCACTAATACAACTTCAAAAATCAGGAATTATTGTTGGGGGTTGAACTTATAATGTTTTGAACCTCATGAATCATTCATGGGATTTAAAAGTTCAGCAAATTTTTGAACTCCAATATAGTTTACTCATGAGCAGGGGCGGGTCTAGAGTGTAATATATGGTTTCTCGGGAACCCAGTAACTTATGCATAGACTCTATATTTTTGTTAAATTTTTTATTAAATATCTATAAATATCTATTTGTGAACCCATTTATTATTGTATATTACTTTGAAATTGCGACAAGAACCCATATACTTAAAATCCTGGATCCACCTCTGCTCATGAGATTTCACTTGTCAAAGCTTCGAACTCCATTACCGATTATTGGAGTTATTTCCGTATTTTAATTGGGGCAAAAATATCAATTTAGTTGGACAATGGCTACTTCACTAATGCATTTAAAAAACTGACTAAACTCTAGTAGCCGGTCCAAAAAATAATTAATCGGGCTAAATTTTTCATTTTAATATCTCACTAGTGAGAATGATTGTTTTTGCTTCAGAGGAGGTGGTTGTACTTGCCTGGCACCCTTATATCTATTAATGAAATACCCCATATGATTTCAACATATTCATGGTATTGAATGTATGATGTTAAACATGTATTGGTAAAAAATGAATTCATCACGTGGACAGTATAATGGACGACACATGGCAATTGACACCTAGTCAGCCTTAGGACAAATAAGCAATGAACCTGAAGGCCACTTGAAGAGTGTAATCGAGATCATTTATATCAAGATCATATGAATTAACTTATTCCCACTATTATTGTAACGAATTGACAACTGAAATTAGCAGTGAATAATTCTAGTACTAAAAGAAGATTTTCAGTAAGATCTCCTCCTTTTGTCTTTACAATCGTTTGTGTTTGTATTTTATTTTACTGCCATCACTGATTTTCTTTTCATAAATTGAGTCAGTCGATTGCTTGTGGCCTTATTGTTACAAACTAAATTGATTCAACTATTAAACAAATGTTGGGTTAAATAAAAATATGGTAAGAAATCCTAAATCTAATTTTAGCGATTGATTAACTTATTTTCGAAACAAAAAAGGTGACATGTTGACATAAAGTAATTGAGAAAACCACAAGAGGAAAGAAGGAAAACGAAATTTCACTTTCACTTCCAACAGTAATTAAGCCAAAGGAAAAGAAGAACGAATATTGTTAAGAATTTGAAGAATGCAATTCAAAATCATCATCAATATTACCTTGTGCTGGTTTTTCATTCTATGAACTTTTTCTGCACCAAGGCTTTTCATTAGTACAACCAAGAAGAGGTTGTGGTCTAAAATTGAAGTAAGCAGCAGAAGCAAGGTATAGACAAGACAAACCTACATATATTTTGAACCAGATGAATGAATAAAATGTAAAGAATGCAAGTATTCCACTAACAGCAATTACTAGTGTAAAATTGACCAAGCATTTTGCTGTAGAGAGTTCTTCTTCGGTTCCTTCATTAGGGAAATGACCATTTGCAATAAAATTAGAGAGTAACTGATCCTTCAACTGAAATGTCTCCATCAACCATGCAAATGCCTCCTTTTCGGATGCTGGAATCTCCTCTATGGGAATGCGTCTGATATGAATGTGTACTTGAGAAGGATCCACGCCGAAAACATTGTCCAATAGAGTTGGACACTGATTCTTATATGCGATAGTCACATCATAAACTGCAAATTGAACATGTTAAGGGAGTATATATAAGACTACTGGAGAGTCAAAAGTAGAAAACATTTGTTACAAGACAAAACCTGCATCCAAGGAGCTCCTTAATATTTCCAAACATGCATAAAAACCTTTCGTCTTAGGAAGCAGTACATTCTTTAGAACAGGTAATCCATTCTTGATAGCAAACTCTTGGCTGCTTTTGCACTTCTGCTCACTGCAAGTAAAGGCAAGTAGCAATTTTAGAGAGTAAACAGAATAATAATTGTGAAATGTTCAGGTAAGAATGAGACATTTCATCTTAAGATTCTAAGAATTACTATTCCTTACGTGAAATCAGTTCCCTCGGGGAAAAGGGTCAGCCAAAGTGGATCCTGAGGATTGGTAAAAGTCGAAACCATCTGTCTTATAACTGGTTCATCCACTTCTAATTTTCTCTCGAGTGGGATGAACTCCAGCACATGAAATCCCCATCCAAAGACTGGCAATCTTATCAAACTTTTCTTAAGTAGATATTTGATGTGACCCAAGCATCCCTTCCGCAATGCAAGATCCCACAAGTACATCCAATCAACTTCTGTTCTGTGGTTGGCCATCAGCAGAACACGTTCTTGTGGTGGAACATGTTCTCCAGAAAAGACCACTCTGGTTTCATTTATCTTTTCAAACAAGAACGGCCACAATCCAAGCCAAAGACCAAAGAGGAATGACACTACTTTCCTACTATAATGTGTGCTGAAGAAGCGCAAGAGAACAGCTGCTATTGGTGCGAAATAAATTAAGCAAATGAATGCGGTTGAAAGAAGAATCGCTAAACATATCACACCCCTGAGGATTCTGAAAGGTGTTAAAGGAAAATGTTTTGCTTTCTCGTCAGAGGCAAGAACCTGGCTAAGTTCCATCCTATCTTCTGTGCTCAAGGCGATTGTCTAAAAGAGCTGAAGATATGAGCCAGCTAAAAGTTCTTACATGCGCGCAATTTCAGTAACTTTACTCTCACTCGTTATATAGAACATAAATTGGCGGAGCTCCCATAAACATGGAGGACTACAACTCCTGAAGCTCATATCTGCAATTAAACAAAATATGAAGCCTAGTGAGAACAAATGACTTGTGCCTTCAAGAGTTCAAGGCTTAAGTAGTCGACAAAACTATGTCAAAGCAGATGATGGCCAAATTATCAGAAAGCAACTAAGATATCAAGAACTTAACAGCATAATGTAGACTAATTATTTGTCTCATGGAAAATGGTATGTAACAAACACAAAACTAAACACACACAATTCCACGCCCAACTTATTAACAAGTGTATTTCACTACGATAGAAACGAGAATTACAAAGGGAAACGAAACACTGAAAGGAAATTGCTAAGAACAATCAAAGTAGAAGAAGGGGATGAGGAGTACATAGAGAAGAATTGGGGATGAGGAAACATAGACTTTGCCTAAGCAGTTGACACAATTCGCATAATTCCCAAAACTGCCGATGACACCCTTTTATCCCCTTTATCACGTACTTCCCCACTCAACCTGGATCCCAAGCAAATATATTATTGGGCTGTCTAATTCCTTGGCCATATCACGGTTTTGCCCCAGGACCAATAGCTTGGACAACCTTTATCCAAATAACTGGCCCATAAGCATTATCTAACTTATCCATGTTCACAACATGATCGTCACATTAGAAAGGAAATTCTAACAATAGGGATTAGAATAGAGAACTGGGGGATGATGATGAATGCATTTACAAGTTTCAAATAGAGATTCCTGCTCGACTTCCATAAGTTACCTGTGATATTAAGGTGATTTTAAGGCAATACTTGCCAGAGTCACATCCACCATAATAAAGAGACACATTTCTGGTAAAGAAGAGAACCTAGTCTGCATAATAATATAGTTGGACGCTTTGAAATGAATACATTTAAGTTGGACATCACAAGAAAATGATGTAGTTGTCAGTAATTTAAAATATGGTGAAATTAACAGATCCTCTACTGGTGCTTAAAAGTTTCATAATTTAATGATATCAAGATATCTACATAACAACTCTTGTCATAAAACAAACAGCTACTACATAAATTGTTACAGTTTCTTTTAATAGAATTCTTGTTGAGAGACTGATCTATAATAAGTTTTCATCTTGAATTGTCCCCTAGGAGTCATTTGAAAGAGTAAAATCATAGTTGGAATTACTACAAGAACTTTTGCAGTTAATGGGAACATAGAGATAATACTTAAACTATTCACAAATATCGAAAAGAAGTTTTGTTATGTTTTGCCCCTCCTATTTCTTCTTGACCTGTTTAGTTTAAAACATGTTTAGAAGTTGAAAGAAAATAGTAATATATTGATTAAATGTACTAATAATACTTTAAAGGAAGCTTCTTACCTGTTGAAGGTAACATGATGCCACATCAAATGAGCTACTTTCCAACTTAATGGCACATGACACTTGATAGGACATAGATCTCATTTTTGCAAGGCTATTATTACAAATTGTTGTATTTGACTTATAAACCAGATAAAATTTGATTAATCTTTATTTTCCTTATCAAATTAATTTACCTATTATAGAAACACTCAAACAAAACCAAATGCACCTAGAAAATGACTGTTGGCTCTGATCCTACACGACCCTAGACACTAAGAAACGAGCCCTTTTGCATTATGGTAGTGAGGAGTGACAGAGCCATAAATTTATAAGAGATGGATTCAAGAAAATATTAGTCCTTCTGTTTCAATTTAGATTACACACTTTCCTTTCTAATTCATTCCAAAAATAATGACATATTTCTACAATTATAAATAATTCAACTTTAAAATTTTTATCTTACCGATTTTATCCTTAATAAGAAGTTTTTATAACCGCACAAATGTCATGGCCCTATAAGTTTTTACCCCTTAAACTTTTAAGACCATAAGTTTCAAGAATCTTTTTTTCTTCTTAAACTCCGTGCCGAGTTAAACTAGTTCATCTAATTTGAAACGGAAGGAGTATAATACCAAAGTTGGGATTTGAGTAAGTGACCAAAAGCAATTTGAGTAAGGAAAAATTTTGTTTTTTTTCCCTTCCTATTTGATTGGTATATTTTTTCAACAAAGGAATTTAATTGGACCCCCTTCTTTTATACCTAGCTCCGCCCCTGGCAGCGAGCGGGTATAGAATATCTTCCCTCCATTGCTGGTTTCACATTTAGCAAGTTGTTAATTATTCATTCTCACCCTTAATCATAAGCATTTGGAAAAATCAAATGCTAAAGAATAGGTCCTCATAGATAGATAGATAGACATATTCCATCCATATTCTTTAATTTGCTGATATTGAATCAAACATGGGACAACATACAAGAATTTCCCCCTTTCATAAGCTAAACTAATGAAGCGACTAAACCAAAACAAACACTCATGTATTAGATTCTACGGTTAAAAAGAAACAAAACGAAACCTCAATAAAAAAAATTGAACAGCCATGATCTGCAGATTCATTTAAAAGCTTCACACATAAGCAATGACATATATCTTGTATTCATATAAAAGTGTCTGTGTGTGAGCATACACATACACACACGAACGGTCTCATATGTACATGCAGAATTGTATAAATTTAGAAAGTAGATCCAACATATAAGCACATAAATATTAAGTATACAGAGATTTGCGTACCTAGAGGTGAGCGAAACTGGAGAGCATCGAAAATGGATAAAACTTGGGAGATTTGCAGAATTGCACCTGAAGCAATATACCAAGGAGGGAAGACTCCTTCAAAGAAGGAAAATCACTATTTATAAAAGGAGTAGTAATCAAATGTTGTTACCTCTACCTTATGTCATCATTTTAGTGACCAACGAAAATGAAGTTGAACTCATGAGTCATACGTGGGTTTGTTGGATCTCTTTGACGTAAAGACTATCTATAAAATTAAATAATTAAACATCCACTGAGAAATAAATGTAATAGTTTATTGTGGATTAATAAACAAACTGTCCTTCTCCGTATATAACGCCTGTTTAACCCACTTATTAATTAAGAAGAAAAAAAAGGCATGCAACTTCTTGGTTAGAGCGTGAAACATCCTTCAGTTCATTATTTATGGACTCGCTTCAATTTAAAAAAATGATTATTGTTTGAAGGGGAATAATTTGATTGTACCCATCATGAATCAGATAAGTTAGAATTGGTATTTCTGATGATTATAATTATAATTGTGATGAGGTCATCACTTGTTTTAGATATAAATTTTGTGTTCCGAGGCCTTAAAAACCTCTTTTTGTCCCACTTCGATTTGCATGCACAATCTGGGCGCGTAGACGGAAAGCCAATATGTGAAAACCTGTGAAAAATAATGAATTTTGCCTTTAAAATGAATTTAAGTTGACTTTGGTCAACATTTTGGGTAAACGGACCCGGACCCGTAATTTGACGGTCCCGGAGAGTCCTAGGAAAATATGGGACTTAGGCGTATGCTCGGAATCGAATTCCGAGGTCCCAAGCCCGAGAAATAAATTTTTAAAGAAAATTATTTTCTAGAATATTTATGAGTTTTTGAAAATGAAATGTGTGAGATGGTATCGAGCCCGTATTCTTGTTCCGGATCCCGATATAGGTCTTACACGTGGTTTAAGTTGAGTATGTGAAATTTGGTAAGAAACGGACTTGAAATGACATGAATCGGACCTTATTTGAGAAAATTGGAAAATTTGATATAATTAAGTGATTTCATGATTTTGATGCTAAATTCATAATTGTTGAGGTTATTTTGGTGATTTGAATGCACGAGCAAGTCCGTATGATATTTTTAGGTTCGTATGCATGTTTGGTTTAGGGCCACGGAGTGGAATTCGGACTTAGGATGTTGCAGATTTTAACTGGTATATTGTAGGCCTGCAGGCTTCGCATTTGCGAAGCCTGGCTCGCAAATGCGAGAGTTATGTCGCAAATGCGAAAAAACCCAGGCCAGCATTACCTCGCAAATGCGAGGTACTCATCGCAAATGCGATGCATCCAGTTGTAGCCCAGTGGTCGCAAATGCGACACCAGCTTTTCAAATTTTGGGAATTTGGACCTCGATTTGAGGTCCGATTTCAGAACAAATTATATATTTGGGTTCGTGGGAGAATGGGTAATCGAGTTTTGGTTCGAACTTCGGGTTTTGACCATGTGGGCCCGGGGGCGATTTTTGACTTTTTGGGGAAAACTTTAAAAAACTTATTTTCATACATTAGAATTGATTCATTTAGTATTTATTGATGTAATTAAGTAACTTGTGGCTATATACGAGTGAATTGTTGGTGGAATCAAGAGGTAAAGCGATAGTTGAGACTTGAATTTTGTTCGAGGCATCGAAGTAAGTGTTTGGTCTAACATTAGCTTGAGGGATTAGGAGTTGTGTCCTATTTGCTATGTGTTATTTGTTGAGTACTATGTATAGCCATGGTGACGAGTATCTATACGTTGGTGTCAAGCATGCCCGTGAGTCTTAAGTTGAAATCGTTGTGTTCTTAATAAGTGCTACAAATGTCTAAGTTGTTGATTCTTTGTGGAAGAATTATGATTATTCTCTTGGAAATTGCTTATGGTTGAGTATTGGTGCTAGTTGAGGTTTTCTGTGTAAAGTTAAATATTAGAACAAGTTTGGTTATAGTTGATTCCCTTGCCGGGACGTATTTACTTCTTACTGTCGATTCCCTTGCGGGGATATTATTGTTCCCTTATTGTTCCCTTGTCGGGACTCTTTTGTGATTGGTGATGAATTGCATATTGGGATCGGGTTGCACGCCACAACAATACTATATTTGGATCGGGTTGCACGCCACAACAATGATATATGATATGGATCGGGTTGCACGCTACAACAGTGTGATTATTATATGGATCGGGTTACGCGCCGCAACAATAAATGATAAAAGTGGTTATTAATTTGTTACAGTTTCCTTATTCTTTCTACTGCGAATTTCAAAATTGTTCTTTATGCTTTTCTCCTGAGTTACTATTGGTAAATGATATTCCCCTACAACATGTTTCCCTCTCCCATCCTTAATTGTACATTTCTGCTTTTAGTTTTCGTTGTATATGATATAACTGCACAGGTTTATTTGGTATTCTGGTCCTAGCCTCGTCATTACTTCGCCGGGGTTAGGCTAGGCACTTACCAGCACATGGGGTCGGTTGTGCTGATACTACACTCTGCACTGTGTGCAGATCCCGGAGCAGCAGCTTTCAGACCGTAGTTTTGGGTGGCTGCCTTCATTCCAGTCAGAGATTCCAAGGTAGTCCTGCAGGCGTCAGCAGGCCTTGGCGTCTTCCCCTATCCTTTTAGCCTGTTTCTTTTATATATCTCAGAGACAGTGTTGTAATAAATCTTTCAGACTTTTATTTGTAGTATTCCTAGACAGTCTGTGGAATTGTAACACCAGTCTTGGGTAGTTATTGTATGGATTGGTATTGGCATCTATCTTAAGTTATTACATTTCAGTTTTCCGCTTATTAGATTTCTGCTGTTTATTAATTGTTGGTTATTAATTGTAAAATGACTAAAACGGGAAAAAGGTAAATAATTCAAATGGTCGGCTTGCCTAGCTCTCACTAGTAGGCGCCATCACGACTCCCGAGGGTGGGAAATCCGAGTCGTGATAAGTTGGTATCAGAGCTCTAGGTTACATGGGTCTGACAATTCACAGACAAGCTTAGTAGAGTCTGAGGGATCGGTATGGAAACGTCTGTATTTATCCCCCAGAGGCTACAGAGTTAGGAAAAACTTCACATTTATTCTTTCATGTTGTGCGGTTTGGTTTCTCAATGCTAATTGAATTTCTACTATGTTCTTTCGCAGATGGCGAGAACACACGCTTTCTCATTCACCGATCAGCAGCCCGAGCCCCCAGCAGCAGTTCCCACGATGGGCAAAGGGCGAGGGCGAAGCCGAGCCCGTGCTAGCGGCCGAGGTAGGGGCAGAGCTTAGCCTAGAGCAGCAGCACCCGCGGTTAGTCTCAGGTTGACTTTGATGATGAGGTTCTGGTCCACGCAGTTCCGGTGGGCCCAGTTCAGGTCATAGAGTGGTTCATTGCTACTCCAGTACTCCAGGATGCTCTGGCCTGTCTACTGGACCTTATGGAGAGTGTCACCCGAGCAAGCTTGCTTCCTATAGCACCAACTGTCACTCAGGTTGGAGGAGGAGCCCAGACTCCAGCTACTCGCACTCCGGAGCAGATGGCTCCCCAGTTTCAGACTCCAGCAACTCAGCCAGTTGGAGCAGTTCAGCCGGGTGTGGTAGCTCAGACCGGTGATGGAGCGGCTATGTCTGCCGATGCTTTCTGGAGATTGGACATGTTCACCAAGCTCTTCACTACTACTTTCAGCGGTGCAACTTCTAAGGATCCCCAGGATTATTTAGACAGCTTCCATGAGGTTCTCGGGAACATGGGGATAGTGGAGACCAATGGGGTTGACTTTGCTACTTTTCGCCTATTTGGATCCGCCAAGACTTGGTGGAGAGATTATTGTTTGGCTAGATCAGCCAGATCACCAGCCTTGACTTGGGAGCAGTTTACTTAGCTATTTCTGGAGAAATTTCTCCCTATCACTCAGAGAGAGATCTATCAGAGGCAGTTTGAGTGTCTCCAGTAGGGTTCTATGACTGTTACTCAGTATTAGACCAGATTTATCGACTTGGCCCGTCATGCTCTTATCATACTTCCCACCGAGAGAGAGAGAGAGAGAGGGTGAGGAGGTTTATTGAGGGACTCATTCAGCCTATTCGACTTCAGATGGCTAAGGAGACGGGGAGTGAGATTTCTTTTCAGGAGGCGGCCAATGTGGCCAAGAGAGTTGAGATGGTTCTGTCGCGGGGGTGGTCAGGGGTCTGACAAAAGGCCTCATCATTCAGGCAGATTCAGTGGTGCCTCGTCCGGAGGCAGGGATTCGTATGGTAGAGGCCATTCTCCTAGGCCTCTTCAGTCAGCACTTCAGGTTTCTCACGGTGCTTCATGTGGTCGTGGTTTTCATATGTAGTATTTTGATCAGTAGTCCTGCAGTGCACCGCCGCTCCAGAGTTTTCGGGGTGGTCATTCAGGTTGCCAGGGTCAGTCTCAGTTTCCTCAGCCGCAAAATTCAGGTGGATGATTTAAGTGCGGTAAGTATGGTCATATCTGGAGGGCTTGTCCGAGATTGGTGGGTGCTCAGTCGTAGCAGCAGGGTTCCCGTGCTATGGTTCAGGCACCAGGTGTTCCACCGCCCGCTCCGCCAGCTAGGGGTGGGGGTAGAGGGGCAAAAGTTGGAGGTAGAGGTATTAGAGGTGGAGGTCAGACAGCTAGAGGTAGAGACCAGCCAGTAGCAGGCCGTCCCAGAGATGTAGTTCAGGGTGGAGGGGCTCAGCCCCGATGTTATGCTCTTCCAGCTAGGCCTGAGGCTGAGGCTTCCGATGCAGTTATCACAGGTACTGTTCTGGTTTGTAGTAGAGATTCTTTGGTTTTATTTGATCCAGAATCTACATACTCTTATGTGTCATCTTATTTTGCACTGTATCTGGTCATGCCTAGTGATTCTTTGAGTGCTTATGTATATGTATCTACACCGGTGGGTGATTCTATTGTGGTAGATCGTGTCCATTGTTCATGTATAGTTGTGATTGGGGGTCTTGAGACTCGTGTATATTTGCTACTTCTGGACATGGTTGATTTTGATGTCATATTGGGGATGGACTGGTTATCACCCTACCACGCTATCTTGGACTGTCATGCCAAGACCGTGACCTTAGCCTTGCCGGGTTTACCCCATT